CAATATCCCTGTAAGGGGAACACACAAAATGTTATCATTGTGGGGAATTTACATGTACAATATCCCTGTAAGGGGAACACACAAAATGTTATCATTGTGGGGAATTTACATGTACAATATCCCTGTAAGGGGAACATACAAAATGTTATCATTGTGGGGAATTTACATGTACAATATCCCTGTAAGGGGAACATACAAAATGTTATCAATGTGGGGAATTTACATGCACAATATCCCTGTAAGGGGAACATACAAAATGTTATCAATGTGGGGAATTTACATGTACAATATCCCTGTAAGGAGAACATACAAAATGTTATCATTGTGGGGAATTTACATGTATTCATTGTGGATATTTGCATATCCCTTTCACAGTCTCTGGTAATTTCCAGCATGAATGGCCAAACCTGCTCAATCCAACACACAGTGGAAAACAAAATCTTGACAGATGAGTTGATACATAACGATAGACAGGTCTGGTAATTTGCACCTATCACATAATGGTTTATTTTCTTTTCATGCACTGTCTGTGGTTAATTACCAGTAAAATAACTGGTAATTATATAAACATATATTTACTGTTCCAAGACAATCATAAAAAGACAATGGGGCTGCGGTAGCTCAGGTGGTAATTAGCGCGTTGGCTTATGTAACCTCAGGTGAAGAACTAAGGTGAAGATCTAAGGTGCAAAGCTTGATGTTCACTACTAGCAGTGGTTTGTTTTTTTTCCAGGAAACTGCGAAAAGGACCTATTGAGCTGATATGTTTTTTATCCTGCTAGATCTGGATGGCATGCGATGTGCCTCCAGTATGTTGTTCAGTAAGGTTCAGCAAGGAGACCCCACCTCAAATTACACTAGCTATTCATGGTCCAATAAACCCGAGAAACACAAAGAAAACAAGGGAAGTTATGTACATGACATTTGGAATTGAAATTAATCAATGTCAATATTTTAAAGTTTCACCAAATCTGAACATATGTAGCAAACTGAATGGTTTTTTTACAATGGTGAAAACACTAAACCAGGAAATATGTTGAAAATATTATGAATGACTGAACACTGTTTTTCCAACTGTGAAAATGTTCATGCTTCACTTAACTAGAAAATGTGCTGAAAATGTTATGAAAAACTGAATGCTGTATTTGTATTACTGAAGCATCACATACAATGCACTTCTTCAAAAACTGCCGACAACCTCAATACACTGTAACAGTATTCCTGTACCAGAATAACTACTTCCAAAGAATCAATAGTCCCTGTTTCAAATCAAAACATTGATCTTTTCACACATGCTATTTCTGTAATCAGTCTCGTGTAAAATGGTACCTGGAGAATGCCTGTTGTCTTTTTTTATGTATTTGATCAAGATACAATATTTGTCTTTGCTGATAAAACTGGGAACAATTTTCATGAAATGCTGAGCTGATTTCAAAACACAAAATATTGAATCAGGCCAACACAATCATCACTCATAAAAAAGCGGAATTTTACATCGCATCTCTCACACTTCATGAATACTGAATTTTACATCACATCTCTCACACTTCATAAATACTGAATTTTACATCACAATTTCTCTCACTTCATAAAGACTGAATTTCACATTGTATTTTTCACACATCATCAATACTGAATTTTACATCGCAATCTCTCTCACTTCATCAATACTGAATTTTACATCGCAACCTCTCACACTTCATAAAGACTGAATTTTACATCGCAATCTCTCACATATCAAAAATACTGAATCTTACATCACAATCTCTCTCTTCATAAATACTGAATTTTACACCACATCTCTCACACTTCATAAATACTGAATTTTACAACGCATCTCTCTCACTTCAAAAATACTGAATTTTACATTGCAATCTCTCACACATCATAAAGACTGAATATTAAATTGCAATTTCTCTCACTTCATAAATACTGAATTTTACATCGCGATCTCTCACACATCATAAATACTGAATTTTACATCGCAATTTCTCTCACTTCATAAAGACTGAATTTTACATCGCAACCTCTCACACTTCATAAAGACTGAATTTTACATCGCAATCTCTCACATATCAAAAATACTGAATCTTACATCACAATCTCTCTCTTCATAAATACTGAATTTTACACCACATCTCTCACACTTCATAAATACTGAATTTTACAACGCATCTCTCTCACTTTAAAAATACTGAATTTTACATTGCAATCTCTCACACATCATAAAGACTGAATATTAAATTGCAATTTCTCTCACTTCATAAATACTGAATTTTACATCGCGATCTCTCACACATCATAAATACTGAATTTTACATCGCAATTTCTCTCACTTCATAAAGACTGAATTTTACATCGCATCTCACACATCATAAATACTGAATTTTACATCACAATCTCTCACACTTCATAAAGACTGAATTTTACATCGCATCTCACACATCATAAATACTGAATTTTACATCACAATCTCTCACACTTCATCAATACTGAATTTTACATCGCAATTTCTCTCACTTCATAAAGACTGAATTTTACATCGCAATCCCTCACACATCATAAATACTGAATTTTACATCGCAATCTCTCTCACTTCATAAAGACTGAATTTTACATCGCGATCTCTCACACATCATAAATACTGAATTTTACATCGCAATTTCTCTCACTTCATAAAGACTGAATTTTACATCGCATCTCACACATCATAAATACTGAATTTTACATCGCAATCTCTCACTTCATAAATACTGAATTTTACATCGCAATCTCTCACTTCATAAATACTGAATTTTACATCGCAATTTCTCTCACTTCATAAGGACTGAATTTTACATCGCAATTTCTCTCACTTCATAAATACTGAATTTTACATCGCAATCTCTCACTTCATAAATACTGAATTTTACATGGCAATCTCTCACTTCATAAATACTGAATTTTACATCGCAATTTCTCTCACTTCATAAGGACTGAATTTTACATTGCAATTTCTCTCACTTCATAAATACTGAATTTTACATGGCAATCTCTCACTTCATAAATACTGAATTTTACATCGCAATCTCTCACTTCATAAATACTGAATTTTACATCGCAATCTCTCACTTCATAAATACTGAATTTTACATCGCAATCTCTCACTTCATAAGGACTGAATTTTACATTGCATCTCTCACTTCATAAATACTGAATTTTACATTGCATCTCTCACTCATCATGAACAATCTTTTTCAGCATACATCGACATCACAACTCAACAAGGAGCCTTTATTCCCCGCACCCAGCTGTTGGTGTAAAACCTAAATATGATATATATTTACTGCTATAACAATCGGTGACATCATTCAATTATGCACTGCTACTATCATCTGAAGATCTATTAGAGTGAAAGCACTAATGCAAAATATAGAGCCTTCTTTTGTCAATTATCAATTAAATTTCCTTGCATCTCCTCAACTTCAGCATTTTATATATATATATCTTATATATCAACCTCATAGTAAGAGTTTATATCTTGATGTAGATCCTGTGTGTTTGACTGTTGATATTTGAATACAGCTTGGTATTGTCCAGGAACAAAATTATGCAACACTCTGCAAGCTTTGGAGTGCTACAAGAAGTTACAAAATCGAAAAATTTAATGGTAACAGAAAAAAGATAAATAGTAAAATGTCCTCAATAAGAAAATGCACGACCAGGGTACTAACCTAATATATACAGAATGTTTTGTGGATTTGAGATAAACTGTTTCGAAGTTACAGCCCTGAAAAGCCCCCAGACGGACACTTACAGGCATGGATGGACGGACGGACTGTGCCCAAATCTGAAGCGTTTTGCGGGAAATAATTACATATTGATCTGCGACATTTTCACAGTGGACATTACTGACCAACACACAGATGGGACAGTTTCATTTTGAGTACACTTTTAATTTCTCATTCAATATGCTGTTAATGTGATAGAGAGTCTGGTGACTAAGCCTGAAAAGCTATATGATGATCAGCTGACCAGACTACTGACTACAAAATGGTCTAGACAAAGAACAGCTGACCATTATAGTAATCATCACAAACCTGTAGGGCATCTAACTCTCAAAGCCCTGTCACCTTACCGTTAAACACAAACAAAAAACCTCTACATAATCAAAAAAAAATATTGTTGTAAAAAATAAATAATTATGGACATCCTTCATTTATACTAGAGATGTTCGATACAAAAATAAGATTCCAAAATAATAAAAAGGTGTACTCTATACAGTTTAGTGGGTTGAGAACATTGATTAATTCTGTTGTCTATCATACAATTGTCACATAATTAACACCAATAAGATAAAAATACAAAACCCATCTCATCTTTTACAGCCACAAATTTCTGAAAAATCGCAAACTTAAATAAACACAGAAGATGTTATGTTGAATTTAAAAAGTTCAAATTATTTTTCATTGTCAACAACTTATTGACTACAAGAAGTGCCTCGGGCAATGCTTATACAAAATACTCTAAAGTACAGTATCTTTTTTTTCTTTTCCTTTCTATTGAATTACCAAAGAACTCTTGAAGACCTTTCTAGGATTACTGACACTATTAACTATTCGTTACAAGGTAAGTTATCAGAAGTCACGCAATGTTACAATTACCAACTTCCTTTTGAATATCCACTTAATGCTCACAGGTATATACTAAAACAATGATTGAAAATCTAATCTTGAGGACACCTGCCAGGAAAAATATAGATGAGGTTTCTTTTCCATTTTTTGAGATATTGTCATTTGTTTGTAATTTTTTTAAGAATATTTACCAACTGATACACAACTTTTTGTCTGCAAATTTAGGAAATCATACGCAAACAAATGGTAATTCACTAAAAAAGAACTGCAGGCTTCAAATACGCCCACAAATGATCTTAGGAGATTATAAGGCATCTTTGTTGGGATATCTCACTACTTGTTATATTGGAGTCATATCCTGCTACATCAAGTTATGTAAAAACTTACCTCTGATATTGAGTGTGTTTCCTCCTAGAAGAAAAGACTCACAGTCCAATGGGAGGGGCGTCTTGGAGGCCTCTACAAAAACATTGATGATGTTTATATCCAAGCCCCGCCTTTCAAGGATTGGGGTCAATGCTAACCTAAAACAGAAAAATAATTCAAATTCAAACACTTTGTTTAACTTTTTTTCTTTTCTTACGACAAAGCTATTTGCGATATATTTTTCTGAAGTCAATCAAGCATAACAAGGAATTATTTATTAATTTCTAAATCACAGCTGAATGCAAAATCAAGTAAATAATAACAAAAAAAAATATTTATTTCATTTAAAAGTTCAATTCTGAAAAATACATTACAACAGTAGTTGCCTATAATCTGGGTTCACATTTTGAGACCCAGAGTTTAAGCTAAAGATTCTTCATCTCTCCTGACATGCTACTATCTAATGAAGTCATCTTTATGACACTTTCTCACTACTTAACCCCAGGATTTCTTCTCTTAAGTATATTTTTTTTCCTGTTCAGCTTAAAACAATTTATTAGCTCTATATCTGTAATATCTTTTCAAATCTTATCAACTGTGATTTACATCTATTACAAGCAGATTCACCTTGAAACTTTGTATTATGATCATGAATTTATTTTTTATCTACAAAAGTCACCTCTTTGCCCTAAAATGTTGAAATTTCTCGTCTTATAAGTTATATCTGTAGGAAATGCCGAAATTTAGGAAGTGAGTTTTGAAAAATTTTCACAAGTAGGATAGCATTATCTTGGTAATAAGTTCATTCAGAGACAACCATAAATTATTAGTAGCTTGAAATTAAATCATGTATCAACAGGAAAGACAGGTATTGTTATATTTTCATAAAAGGCCAAGCAAATTGAGAACTGCATCCGTACAAAACTGTCATATTGACCTCTGACCTTGTCACCCCAGTAGTAACTGACCTTAGACTGATCCCCTTAATGGCTGCCACAATCTCCATGTCCTTGTTTTTCTTGCCAAACGTCACAGTAAAGTACTCCTCGTTAACTACAGTCTGTGTAAAACAAACAAACAACACTTAGATAGCATTATAATGGAATTCTAATTTCATGATTTGTCTGCAAAATTATTATCACAGCTAGACCAAACAATTATGTGAAAGAAAATAACTTTTGAAATTTCCAGTTATAATCTGTAAACAATGTGTTTAAAATCATGTTCAAAAACAACAACAAAACAATAATGATAATAAGTATCACAGAAAAACAAAAAGTTGGGTGGGGAGAAACTGCGTCGAGGGTGGAGGTAGGGGTGGGGTTTGGGGTAGAGGTAGGGGTGGGGTTTGGGGTAGAGGTAGGGGTGGGGTTGGGGGTGGAGGTAGGGGTGGGGTTGTGGGTGTAATCAACATGAGTATGATCTACAACTATATTTATAAATTCATGTCGTAAGTTATAGTAACACCACAATTTATGTAAGAATATGACCATAGGGTAACTGCGAAGGTAGGAGGGCAACAGAACTTCACTGGTATGTGTTACCAATATCAGAAAATATTGGGAGTCCCTGATTCACATGAATCAACACAGCATGCTTTATTTTTGTAACAGCTAAATACTACAGAATTCTATCAAAGCATAGAAGGGAGACAACTCTAAACAAAGAAAGCAACACATAGTTCTATGCAGCTTTTAACAAACAAAACAACATTCATAAAATATAGAGAGCAAATCTCAATGAGATTCCAGGGTATCTGTTGTAACCAAATGATGAATACGACATATTATTATCAATAGATATTGCTTTAACAAATCATGATATTTTTCCCACTACTGGGTAAAGATGAAGGGTTGCACACAATATCAAAGTCAAGTTTCAATTAAATAAACTAGCAATATGATGCTGAAATTCTGCATTGGTCTTTTGATCGAAGAAAATTTAATTTCTTATAAATTAACTGATACCAAAGTATTTCTGTAACAGAGGTTGCTGAAAAGAACTGGAGAAACATTCATATATTACAGCAATATAGCATACCAAAATATTATATCAGTCAATTTTATAAGTAAAATATTCCTAGTAACTTTGTACAAGTGAACAGCTGATAAATTTGTACAAGTGAACAGCTGATAAATTTGTACAAGTGAACAGCTGGTAATATTGTACAGGCAAACAGCTGGTAATATCTTACAGGCAAACAGCTGGTAATTTGCTATCAAATTCATGACATCCAGATTTCTAAATTTCCTTCAGAATTAGATGAAATTATCTAATTCATCAGACATATAAAGAAAATACTAGATATATTTCAGTCACTGTTAATATATAAAATAGGAGTTGTTTCCAGATGGAAGTGCTTTGGTGATGCTATATTATCATGTTCATTTCTGTGACTTTTCAATATCATGTACATTTCTTCCCCTGTGTTAATTTGGAAACCAATATTCATAATTTGCTACAATTAAACATGAATTTCTACCTGTAAAAACAACAATATATTATACGAAATGGAGATCAATAAATTATAATTCTCCATAGCATAATAGTGGCTATGAATAAAATAATATAAATATATTAGATGACATATCTGAGTACTGTTTTGATGTTTATATAAAACTGATTATCATTAAGATACATAATAATGTTATCATACATCATATATAAAGGGTTTTAATCATTATTTGTCCGAATATTATATAAACAGAAAATTATTATGTATAACGGGAAAGTTAAAGCCGACTATTATAAAGTAATAGTTTTGTAATTTTATAAAACTACAGACTTTCAGAAGGGAGAAAGTAATCATAAATATGCTTGACAAAGGGAGATAATCCACTGTAAACAGGAAGCCATCACCATACGATAATTCATATAAGCGTAAACAATGATGTGAGTTGACATTGACATTTACGGGACATTTAGACTAATTGGCAGGACAATACATCAGTGCAAGCTACTTTTAACCATATAAACTACATGGGTATCCAGCACAAAACCATTACTACATTACAAGGTTACTAAGACAACCACCGTAATACACTAGTTACTATGATTACTATACTCTCGGGGTTAGCACCTTCGACGAAGATTGTCGGCTGAAAGTCACTTGACTTCCTGTCTCAAGATCTTCCGATTTGCCCCTCGATTGTTTATTTTTAGGGTCAGTATTATCTTGCAAATGATCTTGACCTTGGTCACTATCTTCCGAGTCGTCCGAGTCATTTGACGCGGTACTGAGGTGACGGCCATCCTAAAGTCCAGAAAGGTATAATAATCTTAAGCTCTACGGTCAGATGATTTCACTGTAATATTTCTTCGCCCTTGCAATGATGATATGGTAATATTAGTATCATTAACATTGTCTGGAGAATTAAAATTGACACTCTATTAAAAAGTCTACAGAAATTAGTTTGGATGCAAGGACCTCGAGATACACCAAGAGGCCAGATAGATGTTAGGAAAGCCACCACAAACTTGTCCAAGGGAGATAACCATCACTAAACTATATTACAGAAATTTTTAATGGTGCAACAGATTTAGTTATGTAAATCTGTTAGATTTCAATGTTCCCTTCTTTTTGTTCTTTAATAAATTTATAGATTTCATCATGCGCCATCAGTAAGAATTTTGTCGAGAAATGGGTGAAAAAACTTTTAAAAATATTTATTTTTTAAACATCACACTGACTCAGATCATAATAGTTTATAGGCTTGCTTATAAATTCACAATAGAAATAGCATTTATATCATTTTAAATATCTCTCTTAACCTGTGAATATTTACTGATGTTGAAAATGATCTTGTAGAATGCAACTGTCCACAAGGGTTGGTAAATTTATAATTATAAATTTCTATTTTTCATCAAATTAATACTTTAAATTAAAAAACAATTTATGAAAAATAATACACATTATCAAGTAATAGAATGGATATCTACTTAACCGATTGCTTTCCTTTAACTGGAACAAGGATATCTGAAAACTTCCTGAGGGACTAAATTTCTAGTCTACAAAGAAACTATCTATCTCATAATGAGCCACTTTACTGTTTCAAAAAGCCATGTCTTCTGGATTCCACTTCTTTGCAAAATATTGTATGAATAAATTCTGATCATCTCAATTCTAACAGAAAAAATCTTTTGAAGGATCAGTTCTAAAGTCGCTTACTGTAAAATAATATTTTGTTTGGGTTCAATTTTCGTAGGTTTTTTTTTTGTTTTTTTTGTTGGATTCTTGATTTCATGGATCTCAATCAATCAACTGATACTAATTTTAAGAATTTGTGGATAACTGAATTCTTTGATTGCAAATACCAATGAAATAATAAAGAATAAAACCCTCGCAAAAAAAAAAAAAAAAAAAAAAGATTTTAAAGTAAGAAATTTAACAAACACTTAATCAAATCTTAGGAATGTGTATTTTAAATTTTAAACTAGAATTTATTTCTAAAGTTTTAGATATTTATCAAAATAATTCTGAAAACAAAACCTTCTTTCACAATAAATCAAGACAAGGGATCATGCTTTTAGAACTGTTTTCAGTGTCAAGAGTTCTGTTCACTTCCAAAACCAAACTGGGAAATAATGGCTAAAATATACAAACATGCTTCAAATATGCCAGGGCTCTCACACCCCATTTTGGGACTGGGGCCCGGGGCCCTTAGAATTGGAAAAAATAATGGTGTTTTCCTTAGAATTGGGAAAAATAATGGTGTTTTCCTTAGAATTGGGAAAACTTCGGGTCTAAATTGGGTATTCGGCCCCAAATCTGACAGATCGAGAGCCCTGTATGCTACGTCAATTTCCATAATGTAGGATTGATATATACATGTATAAAGGGGAGACAATTAAAACAGACAAGAATTTGGATAAACCAGATGGTCTGAACATTTTGTACATGGAAGCGTTACCTATCTAAGCTGACTGGTCACCTACAGGTAAACAGATTCAGTGTTGACAATGACGAAAGTTCCATATCATCAACAGAACCTAAAATGAAAATATTTTCCTCGAAACATTCACTTACATCTGTGTGACGTCTCTTTAGCTTCATAGCTTTCTTTCGTTTTAATTTTAGCTCAGCTGCAGTTGGCAGTGTCGTGAATCTGTAAGAAGATATAAATAGAAGCAAAATTGAAATAAAATAAAATCCAGCTGATTCATCAGTAACTGTAAACATAAATCTAAATTCTGGTTGTTTATCAACAGCAGAGAAAACATTTACAAAGCCTGCATTCTCATGAAAGAGCTCCTATATAATAGACAATAGGGTTTGTGTTTAAGCTGTCCCTATAGCCTTTTGAAGCATAGAAATTAAAAAGAACTCCAGTTATTTTCCAGAATCAAGTTCAAACCATACAAAAAAACCCATTATTCAGATAGGGACCCTTTTTAGTGAAAACCCAACATAAACCCTATCTGAGCCAACATGTAAATGTATTCGTACGGAAATCAAAAAAATTTACATGGAAAAATGTCTTTGAAGGGACTGTGAAGTTTCCAAATCTTTTTACAAAATAAATTTTTGAGAGGATACTTTGTAAAATGTCTACAAATAACATGTATGTGTTCCCTGCCTTTACCCAGACAATTTCAGCTGATATTTAGAAAGATGGCATTTCTCAAGAAGAATACTTGTATATATCTGTCAATAAGCCCATGGCTGATAATAAGCCCACTTCATCTGCGGTCGTTCAGAAAAATAACAAACAATCTCCCAGTAACCTCCTGATTTTGTGTCAGATTTTGTTGATAATTGTCCCGCGGGCTTATTACAGGATAAAAACTTTATAATAAACATCAGATTCATACTCTTGTTTCTTCATGTAGATGCCATCTACTGCGTCTCCGTCCTCCCGTACATTGCCCGTTTCGTCCTCCTCTTCATCCTCCTCTTCCTCGGCTGGGTGACAGTCCGTGGCTTCTGAGTCACTATGGTTACCATCATAATTTGGAAGGGTTGGAGCAGAGATCCCCCTTGGCATAACACCAAGTCCTGCGACAGAAAAATCGGTAAAAAGGATATTAATTAATTACAACAGTAATTTTCAGTCTGCGGCCTTTGGGCTTTAAGGATCATCTGGCTATTTAGTGTTCTAGATCCATTAGTAAAGTCTGATAAAAATCTGAGAATATCCCTTTTGGGTCCCATAACTCTGCCCCCTCAAAAGAGCAGTTTGACCCTTATTTGAACAACAATTGTGACCATCTTCCCAATGGTTCTTTCCAGCGAAATTTTGCTTAGATTAAGAAGCAACAATGAAAAAAAAAAAAAAAGAAAAAAACAAAAACAAAAACAAAAAACAAACAAAAGGCCCATGGGTCTTAATGATCACCTAAGATCTTCAGGTCTTTGGGACAGTTTTAGAACTTACCCATCAGTCCCAGCATTGGGAAAGACAGAACAGAACTGACATGTGCATATTTACAAAAATCTCATTGTTTCTAAGTTTGAACAAACACGATAGCCGTTCATCTCAGCATGCTACAGACTCAATATCAGCACTCTGAACCTTTTGGTCAATATGAAAAAGTTGAAAAAGTCAATTGTTTACAACACACGATGCCAAACAAAAATTGATGGCAATAGTAAAACAAAACAAGAAGCCAAGCGGCTTTGACAGTCACCTGAGATAAGCAATATTGAGTATAAAGGTTATCAAGTGTCCTGAAACAGAAATTATGACACTGAATAAAGTAAGCCAGTGTTAATACATGCATACCATCAAAACTGTCATCCTATAATTCTTATCAATTTATTTCCAGTGGGAAATAACCAACATTATGCTCAAAAATGCAGTTTTTCCATGAAAATTACAGTAGTCTAAAAAAAATACTCCTCCCCAGAAAGAAATGTGAGACTCATTTTGGTAATGTAATCACCATAAGATGATAACATTTATGAACAGCATTGATTCTACCATACCTGGGTGTTGAAAAGAAGATTTTTGAAATTGAAGTCAATTTGACCCCTTGAGGTCAGCCAGGATCAGTATGAGCATACTGGACAGGTTTGATGTTCATTAGTTTGCCTGTTGGTTCTGTTGTTTGTTACCTTGTTCTCATATGAGAACATGACATTTCTTATTTGGATTGACCAAGATTTACATGGCAGGTGTTGTTGATATGGCAGAAGTGCTTACTCTCCCGGAACACCTAGTCTTATTCTGCTTGAACTTTTACTGCAGTCTCCTTGTAAATCTTTCTTTAGTTCATATTTTGCCCTGATTTTATTTATTCTGTTTACATGTTGGTATTTAATAATTGTTTTCTTTTTAGTACCTGGTTTTTTCTTTGGGGCATCCAAGACAAGATGGCCGCTGAACTGATAGTTTCCATGAATGGTGCGGTCACATTCTTTACACAGTAGGAGGGGCTGGTTATCATTCTGTTCTGTACACTGTGGATGGTGACACACCTGTAATATAAGAAGGGTCAAGTTGTAGGTCAAGGTCAAACAATGAACCAAGCGTGCAATAGAGTTACACTGTAAGCAGAGATCAAATACTGAGCCAAGGTTACAAAGCGGGATCAAGTTTAAGGTCAAGGTTATTGACTTAACAAAGGGTATAAAGAGTGCGCCAGAGTAACAAAGAGAGCCAACTTAAAGGTCAAGGTCAAATAGTGAATCAAGGTCATAAAGGAATGAGGATGCAAGTCAATGTCAAACATTGAGCAAAGTTCACAAAGAGAAACCAAGTAAGTTAAGGTCAGATTGTGACCAAAGTCACAAACAGGAGGCAAGTCGTAGGTCATGGCAAAACAATGAAGTTGGGTCATTTACAAAAAGAATTATATGCTAAATCAAACACTGAGTGATTGCTGTAAAGAAAGATCATATCATCAAGTACTGGTTAATAAAAACGATTTGTGTGTACAGAATTATAGTAAGATATGTATGACATTTTTTTTATATTAATCTAACAGACAGTGATAAAATTTTCAGAGAATAAATTCCATTACTGACACAACCAGGAACACATTGTAATGATATAAATAGGAGGAAACACTCTAAGTTTACCAGTCAAAATGATGTTTTCATTAACTATGCACAGTAACAAAATATCTTATAGAAAAAAGCCAAATCAAAATGCACTGAAATGGCAGGAAATGTACATATAACCATATAGCTGTCGTGATGTATAGCATTTATAGTCGTCATAGCATGCAATACGATATGTACCTGCATAGCTACGTCATTTATAATAACTATAAATGCTGTATCCAGAGAGTTCTCAAAGCTTAAATAAGACCAATTGTCCCAAGAAAATAAACAATTTTTTTTAAGGTCTAGAAATAATCTAAGATATCAATGTCTTTTCCTATAAAAACCAGAATCAGATCAGGTGTAGAACTAAATATTATGATACTATGACACATATGACACAGATCCAGAATAGGACAGACTGACATAGGTCAACATTATATGCCTCTCCTTCCCAATAAAATGCAGGGCCATAAAACATCTGAAGTGACAAAGTTAATGACAATTATCTATACAGAATGTGTTGCATATTTCAGGTTCAGATTTCTTATTAAGTCATCAAATCTCTCCAGTGTATCTACCTAATTCACCAACATACCACATGTCCCAGTAAGTGCTAAAATGTCGCACTACATAAATGTTATTCATTAATGTTTTCGTATTTTACCAAAAATATCAACCTGTGTTTAGGATTTAAACGATCCCCTGATTCAAGTTATTGTATATCTTCAATATAATCCTGTTTTAATCCAAGTCATCATTTTTACATATAACCATAACATTTGAATAACAATTGAAAAGCAAGTATTGCTTTGAGGCAGGGTCTCCTTTTATTGGCTACCTCACTGAACAACATAGGAAAGGTCCATCACATGCAATTCTCGGGAGCAATTTGGGTAAAATGTCCTTGCTGTCCAAGGACGCAACCATGACAGTTCTATGACCGGTCCATTATTAGTATTGAGATAAAACACAGCAATACTGTATTTATCCAGAAATAAGCCACTCAATTACAGTTTTATAAGAAAAAGTGCAAATATGTAATAAGCCATTTTCTCTAACCAGTAGGTTTACAAATTGGCTCCCTGGGATTATTGATGTGAAAATTTGGTAACAGGACTCATTTCATCTTCAAGGAATAACTTCAGATATGAGCCTTTTAAGCTAAAAACGTTGTTCATAAACTCTGTTGGAACCTTGGTTTCTGTCTTGGAACCTTGGTTTCTCTGTGTTTATTGTTGCTTTACATCCTATTAACAGCCAGGGTCATCTGGGATATGCCATGTTTAGATGGCAGGGCTCTCACACCCCATTTTGGGACTGGGGTGCGGGCCCATAGAATTGGGAAAAATAGCTGCGTTTTCCTTAAAATTGGGAAAACTTGGGGTCTAAATTGGGAAAAAAAGATACTATTTTGCATTGGGAATGGGGCCGAATATCGGCATCAAATCTGGCTGATCAAGAGCCCTGGATGGTAATTCTGTCTTCTATGTAGTTCATATTTTTACAAATCTAAACATTAATCTTGTTTTGAATTAAATTTTTCATTCAACAGTTCAAATGATATGATTTTTTTTCTGCGGATACAAAAAATCCATGAATGAAATTAATCATAGATGCAATATGTATAATTCATGTTTGGTATAAATTTTATACACATAGATATATAAAGTGTGCACAGGTTTGATATTTCCATGACAAATGCACACAGACTAAAGCATGTGTCAAATTTGAATCACAAATTGCAGAGATTTTTTCCCCAATATTTCATTCAGATATTTTCAATATACATTACATGTATATGCATACTGTAAATTCTTCTGGACCTTAAACAATAAAACCTGTTATAAATCTTTAAACTTCGCTTAAATTTATGTATAAATATTTCATGCCCGCTAGCAATTGAAAATTTTAAAAATAAACAAACAATACATAAATTGTTTACATATAGAATACTCCTGTAACTTTTCAAATCTGGGTTCTTTAACTGATCCAACTGGTCTGCTTCCATGACTTCAAATTTCTTTCTCACGAAGAACAAATTGGTGTATCAGTAGATCACAATTTAGTAGGTTTTTTTTTCTAATTCTATGTTTCCCACACTAATGATGAAATATGTTGTTCAACCTAAATATCTTTCCTTTATTTACCTTTGTATACTGTGGCTGACGGAGTACACTGCCCTATAATAGAGGCATTCTTGCATGCATTTTGATGGACAAGGTTTGAATCACTGTACCAGAATACCCCAGTATCAGGTGAAACTATAGTGTATATTGTAGTCAACTCCTAACCTGTCAAATTTACTCCCGTCAGACTAACCTAGTCATCTAAATTCGACTAAATGTCACAATTTTTTCATTTAAACCTTTTTCAAATTGGACAATACACATTAGTTCATGTACCCTGAATTAATGTCCTTCTTTAAATCTGTTGCCCAGCAACCATGACACAACTTATTAAATCTTATTCTACAAAAAATAGATCTATAAACGCCCTTCTCTGAGTCTGTAATGACTATTTCAAACTTTTTTTTACCTTTTTTTCAAATCATTACATTTTTGAATTGAAATGAAAGGCTAGCAAGATTTTAAAATCACAGCAAGTGGTCATACATAATTAGTCTATGCCATGAAACTTGAACAGAGAATAACATTATACTATATTGGTGTTGTCTTGAGAAAGATTCAAACCCTCAATATACACATTTTTCACTAAAAAAGCGAAGAGAAAAAATAATCTATGTATGTAATATAGCAAAATATAATCTATCTCAGAAATTCTAAAGACAACACCTTGCACTTGTATCAATGTGAAAGCTGATTGTAAACATGCCCCCATTTACAAATGTTGCCGCATCGAAGTTGGAAAATCCACTGAACATCATTGTGAGAGGTTGTTATTTACTATAAACAGCGAGCACTCAAATGATTATAAACCTGCATTCTACCTGTGATATTATGCCACAAAAAGCGAGCAGCACGTGTAACACTTTACATGTTAACATGCCTACTACACCTGTACATTCCATTGGTTGTTTTTTTTGTGACTGCCTTGTGGAATTTGTATAACATCAGTTTGTATTTTCAGTGAGATCCATTTTTATCAATTTTTATCCGTTTCCATATCTCCATAATGTGTCGCTTGTTAGATTCCAATCAGCTTTAGTTTGAAACATAATTTTTTCCAAAACTTTCTGAATCTTGTAAATTTGCTGTAAGGTGCATATATTGTGGCTTTACTGAGCCAGTTTATCCAATTAATGATAAATTTACGTATTATCAACATATACCTATCCGTGGTATATCGTTTGATTCTTAAAAACAGACTAACTTTTAATCATTCACATATATGAAACCCAAAAATATCAATGTGTTTAAAAATCGTAAATAAAATTTACAAGGATATGTCGCTAACTGGATAAGTTTTAGCTGCACATAAATAAATAAATAAATTAAAAATAAAAACATTTATTGCTTCAGTCTTATATTCTAATGTTTTAAGTGAAATGTCCAGATTTTGACATATATAACTTCATTCAAAAGAGACATAAAGGTTCTTCAGCTTCATAAATGACAATGACGTTATAATTAACCAATAAATGAAAACACAAAATCTGTTTTCACATCTCTAATCTTCAATGTTTGAACCAAAACTTTGAAGAATTTTTGTTAAGCCATTGAATTTCAAAAAGTTTAAACGGTAAACCTCTATTTTGTATTTCAAAAAAAGTACGTTATTTCATGAAGGTTTAACATGAAATAGCCATTATCTGCCTTAAAACCCAAGCCCCAATCCCTACCTCCCTCAATAAAATGACCTAATTCTTGAACGATTTTATCATTCGTAATATTTTGTTGCCATTAAATCAATCATAACACCTGAAATATTTATCTTTCAACACTGGATACATTATTCTTATCACATATCAAAACATTCTGTATGATATCAAAATATGAATTACAGGATTTTATTAAAACCAATATCAAACAGACCTCATTTGTACAAGAAAATAAATATTTCAACTGGCACTATCCAACCATACTGTAAAATCTAGGTCAGTTAAAGTAAACACGTATTTTAATACCAAAGTTTGATTTGGAAAAGAACCTGGTACACAGTTTGCAATGCTGAAAGTAATGTTATCAACAATATCGTTTTTATCCTACAATAAGCCCAGGGGACCAGTGTACAATATTTTTTTCTTCCATAATCAATGTTAGCCATAATCAATGTTAGCAGGTCAATGAAAAATAATTTGTTTGTGTTGAGACAGCTATGTTTTATTTTTTTTTAAATTTTTTTATTTATCGAAAAACACACGAGGAATAAATAGATTCATACATACTATCAGTCTATAACTCCCACCGTCACACACTTACAGAGAATAGTCATGCATCATTTTCACCACTAAACACACAGCATTTTGAGTT